TTGCCCATGGAATACTCTGTAACATCCAGCAAAATGTCAATAGTTATTATATACTGAGTGAGCTCTGCCTCTTATATGTATTGCCTAACAATGCTCAAAACTCTGAGAAGTAGTAAGTATCATCCCTATTTATGGATGGGGAATAGGAACAAATAACTTTTCTAACAATTTAAAGGTCTAGCAGCTTTTAAGCATTGGAATTTCACTTCTAATTATTGTCTCCAAAACCCAACGCTTATTAAAACCATACTAGCACTGATTTCTCTCTGGGAGAATTTTAAAATTCTGTAGTTAGGGCTGGGCAAAGTGGCTCATGCCTACAATCCCAACACTTTGAGAGGCTGAGATGGGTGGGTGAATCTCTTGAGCTCAGGAGTTTGAGACCAGCATGGGAAACATGGCAAAACCCCATCTCTATTAAAAATACAAAAAATAAGCTGGACATGGTGGTATACACTTGTAGTCCCAGCTATCCAGGAGGCTGAGGTGTGAGAATCACCTGAGCCTGGGAGGTCAAGGCTGCAGTGAGTCGAGATCATGCCACTGCACTCCAGCTTGGGCAACCAGAGTGAGTCCCTGTTATGGAAGAAAAAAAAATAAATCTGTACTTAGGCTTTCAGAACAGGCTATATGTGATGCATGTCAAAAACACAGCTGTAATTGATTGAGGGAAAAACATTACCATTTTAAAGATTTTTGCTGTCAAGCCCAGATTTGGCCACTAGGAATTTCACAGCTCACCAGTGAAACTGCTGATGAATGGTTATTTTCCAGTGAGCCTTTTATTCTTTCTAAAATACTTACTAAATACTAGTTGTGATTTCTAGGCTATAGGGGCTATAACATATCAAGACAATCTTTATCCTCATGAAGCTTACAGTTAAGTGAGAGATAGAGATGAATTATAACAGTGTGAAGAACAGTAAAGAAAAAGTACAGAGTTATAGATGTGTATAATAGGGCCAGGACTGCAGGAGGAAGGTAGGGAAGACAGTTTGGCAAGAGGTCGTCTAGGAAAAGACTACTTGAGGAAGAGCCAAGATGCGGGGTCTGGCTGCTTAGCAATGGCCATAATACCTAACTTTTACTATTTTTACATGAAGTAACTAATTTAACTCTATGAGGAAGGTACTACTGCCATCTAGATTTTACAGATAAGTACGCAGAGATACAGAGAAGTTAAAACTCTTCACACAGCTTTGGCTATAAACCTATGTAATCTTCAAGGCCTCCCCACTTAACCACAGTGCCATAGCTGCATCTATATTAGGTGCTAAGTAAATATCTGTTAATGAAAGTATAGTTAGCTGACTGGAAAATGGATGGATGAAGAAGTGACACGTAAACTAAGAACACCTTTCAAGCGTAACATGCAAAGAATGATGGAGCAAAGAAGAAAAAAATAGAAAATGGGATAAACCTTTTTCTACTAAGGGGTAATAACCATATGTGTTATTCATCTTCAGGCTGTGAAGGCGGCTTCCCATACCTCATTGCGGGAAAGTATGCCCAAGATTTTGGGGTAGTGGAAGAGACTTGCTTCCCCTACACAGGCACTGATTCTCCATGCAAAATGAAGGAAGACTGCCTTCGTTATTACTCCTCTGAGTACCACTATGTGGGAGGTTTCTATGGAGGCTGCAATGAAGCCCTGATGAAGCTTGAGTTGGTCCATCATGGGCCCATGGCAGTTGCTTTTGAAGTCTATGATGACTTCCTCCACTACCGCGAGGGGATCTACCACCATACTGGTCTAAGAGATCCTTTCAACCCCTTTGAGCTGACTAATCATGCTGTTCTGCTTGTGGGCTATGGCACGGACTCAGCTTCTGGGATACATTACTGGATTGTTAAAAATAGCTGGGGCACCAGCTGGGGTGAGGATGGTTACTTCCGGATCCGCAGAGGAACTGATGAGTGTGCAATTGAGAGCATAGCAGTGGCAGCCACACCAATTCCTAAATTGTAGGGTAAGCCTCCCAGTATTTCATAATGATCAGCATCGGTCATAAAAGGGAATTGATATATTCACAGACTGAAGACTTTCAGCAGTAATTTCAGAAGCTTACAAATAGATTTATATGAAGATTTTCATCTTTAGAATTAAAATTGCCCTTATTTTTAATATGCCTTTCAATCAACCACTGGCCACTTTTTTCTAAGTATTCAATTAAGTGGGAATTTTCTGGAAGATGGTGAGTGATGAAGTAATAGAGTTTGCTTAATCATTTGTAATTCAAGCAGATGCTATATATTTTTAAAATCAACGTGAAACGAAGACTTATTTTTAAATTGTACCATCACAAGAAAATATGGCAATACTTATCAAAACTTTTAAAATAAATGCTCAATTTTAAAATAAAATTTTAAAAATAACTTCATTATTGAGTTTATGTTTACTTCAGAAAATTTTTGTCATTGACTCAGTAAGACTCACTTATGTTACCTCTGTAAGCACTTTTTTAAGAAAGAATAGCATTTGAAGGTATTTCAATTAAAAACAAAACTACAAACCATTATGATAGGGAATATACTCGGATAATGCCTAGTGAATCCTAAAATTATCCTTGGATATTTGATGAGCCAGAGACCTCAGAGAAAAGAAATAAGAGTTTTGATAAAATCTGGATATTGGTGAAGTTATTTTCTATAGTGTGTTTCTTGTATTTGGGAGTATTGGTTAATCTACAGTAGGTGAGCAATAATAGCTTAATGTGTAAAATATTAGCAGTTTGGATTTAAATAGATTTTTGGAATCTCCCAGAGATATTTCACAGTGGATATGAAACCTCTAGGCTAAGTAACGGATGCCTTCTACTAGAAATCATATGACAGGCAAATAAGGCAGTCAGAGCTCTGAGACATAAACAAGGACCACAGCCTTTTGAGCTCGAAAGGACCATGAAGCTCATGTACTTTGAACTCTTTGCACAGCTAAAGACTCAGAAAGAGGACAAGTGATGTGTCTAAGTTCACACAGCTGGCAAGTGATGGAGTCATGCTTAAAACCTAGATCTTCGAAATCCAGTTCTCCTTGAGCACTTTCAGGCACTAAGTCTCAGCATTTCTCACCAGAGTATCTGCAGTCACCAGGGATACTAGCTGCATACTTGGAAATTTCACCTTAGCATTTTGAATTTCAAAGATTTGTGTGAAACCCATGTATTTTCTCCATTGCAATCAACTGCAATGATGTTTTTGCCATCTTTGAACTGCAGTAGGGCAACAGGAGTATGCACCATTTAAAGTTTGGCTTCTTGGGTCTTCTGGCCTACTGCCACATACCTTTAATCTTTTCACCACATGGTGACGAAGAAACAGACACTGGAAGGCATAGCCAGCGTGGGAATCATTGGAAGGCCTCCAAGGAGATGAGATACATTTTCTTTTTATTGTTACTGATTGAATGCAATTATCGTCCTATTTTGTGCCCAGCCTCTCTGCTATGTGAACATATAAACTTTTGAAATCAGAAATAATGTTTTTTTCACTAAAATTCATAAAGATACTATCTGTCAGTTAAAAAACACAATTCTGTTTAACATGTAAGCATGAATTCTCTGGTTTTCCAGCTGGACAGCAGTTGGCTGACACAGAGAAAACTCATCATGATATAGATTGCCTGTGATTTTGCACAATTTTGAGGGCCCTGACTGGTTCTTGAATACATTTATTGCTGGTATCATTCATTAAATGCTTTAGGAAATATTAAATGGCTAAATACTGGTGTGAACCAAACTGGCATGGGAAGTCAGATCATATAACATGTTTGGTTGAGGACAAGCAATGGTTTGAAGAGGCCCTAAGTTTTCAGAGATTATGAGAGGGATTGCTCAGAATAAGAACTTATGTTAGACTACATTTCAACTTGGATTTTTCTGCTATCAAGGTCTGCTTTTCTTGTTTCTCTAAGACAGAAAGATAATTTATATCATCCATATTGCAGATTTCATCAAATACAGTGACTAAACGCAACATTAGGGTTCTGTAAAACCATGCAATTAGATTAGTATGGTGTACAAAAAGCAGTTGGTGTCAGTAACTAGAACTTGTTATATCGGTGCTAATAGAACGCAATACTCAGAGTCTTTTGACAAATGGAGCTCTAGAAAAAAAAAAAAAAAAATGAGATGGGAACTCTGGCTGACCTCCCCAAAGACATTCCCAGAAAATCTATAGGGATAATATACATAGATGATGCCACAGGTCACGAAGAAATATATTTAGCTGGGCAGTCTAACACAAGCATAATATTGACTCTGGAGCCTTAATGCCTGGATGAGAGTTCTGGCTCTGTATCTTATTAGCTATGAAACTTTAGGCGGTTTCCTTATCCTACCTGTGCCTTCATTTTTTTTTAATTTTCTGTAAAAATGGAGACAATGGCATAGATATCTCTCACTGTCTGAATTACTGACTTTTTTTTTTTTTTTTCTGAGTCATGTTCACTGCAGCCTCAACTTCCTGGGCTCAAGCCATCCTCCCACCTCAGCCTCCTGAATACCTGGGACCACAGGCACATGCCACCATACCCAGCTAATGAATTTGTCCTCTCTAAACCATTGCTATTGCAACAAAGGAACTAAATTTACTTGCATTTGCATTTTTAACAGCATTACTTGCTATCTAAGCTCAGACCTTTCATCGTTCCAAATGGAGATGCTAAAGATAATTAAAGACAATGCAGTTTCCCTGTCCATACAAACGTGCTCACAGAACTCAGGAACTGAAAATATTTGGATAGTAAGGAATATGCATACATACTTCATAGAGTTCCCTGAGGGTTAAATACTTTCACATATACTGTACATGCAAAGTATGTAGAACAGTGCTTGGCATGCAGTAAGGACTAAATAAATATTAGCATTATCTTTTTCTGAACTCAAATTGTAAAATAATATTTTGCTATGAGGAAGCAGCTAAGATGTATTCTGTAAATAAATAAGCTCTACTACAAAAGGATAGAGAAGGGCTTCTGAGGGTTGTTTTGTTTTGTTTTGCCCATAATCAAAACTTTATTGAAAAACTGACACCAAAATAGGAGTTCATTGTTGTATACCTTACAAAACCAAATATAATTACATTATCTTGGTAGATTAATTAGAGTTATGGAACTTATGATAAGGCTTTCTGTGAGATAACACAAATTGAGGAAGCTGTTTGGATCATTAGTGTTGCCTTCTTCTAAATGAACACCCTTCTGTGAATCTGGACTTTCCTCCTGTAGGCTGTCACCACACTGTTGAACAGCCTACACAAAGAACCACTGTCTGAGCATGGCTGAAAACTGTGGTGAACTTGTAGCAACCTGGACATTTTACATCTGTAAAGTAAGCATTCAGACTTTGCGCTAGGCGTTTCTTCTTATGTTTTTTCTTTTCCTCTTCCAAAGAGGGATGTAGTAAATCTCTAGCCAAAGGCATGTTGATCCTCTCGCAGGTCCAGCCCTTCCAGACCTCTCAGCCGACACCGCTAACTTGTTTTTTTTTTTTNTTTTTTTTTTTTTTTTTTAAAGAGAGAAAAGAACCTACAGAGGAACACTAGCACAAGGATACCCACAGAGAAAAGCAAAAAAGCTTTATGATTTAGGGATATGATTTTAATTTTATTTTTTACTATAAAATTTTTACATATAAAATTTTTTACTATAAAATTTTTACTAAAAATTTTTAACAGATTCACATCACATGAATGCTGGAAGGTTATCCAGTTCACCTCTGTTGCTAACAATGGGCCTTTACAGGTAAAGTAACATGCCTAAGCTTCCAGCTAATAAGGATAAATCTATGCCCCAATATGTCCAGAATTTTCTACTATAATTGCTGCCTTCCAATTAAGAAAAATGGTAAAATAGTGTTTCCATTCTTTTTAAAAGTTGTGAGACCAATAACCTTACCTTTTTCTTTAAAATCATTTCCAAGATTTGTGCTACGTCCCAGCAATCCTGTTCCCATTTCTTTGGGGCAAGTACTCTAAGTACCAATCCATGTGTGGTGGTTTGGAAGGTTTAATATAATAGTTTTCTTCTATGTATAGTGATGTTAATATATTTATATCTCTTAACTCTGATTAAGGTTTCCTTTTGGTTTAAAGCTAAGTAGAAACTTCCTGACCAAGTTTGGGGAGCTTTGGATATATCAGAATCTTCTCTGATGGGAAGCACATGGACTTAAAATTGTGTATTGGTATTGGATCAGTTACTGGGTCCAATGAACTATTAACTGTAAAGTATTGACCTCACTGAATTTTAGTTCCGACCAAAAGTTTTTAGTGCAAATTTGTGTGAAATTGCCTGGGACATAAAATAATTAAAACCTCAGCAGACTTTCTGGTCATGTCATACTATGCCCTCCTAGTGATAGCAAACCAGAATTGCAGGAAGAAAATGCAACACATGCCTTTTGTGTGTGTGTATTCCTTTTGAGAAGTCCATTTTTAAATATCCCTTTTCTTTAAACCTCTTTTAAGAGTTAGCAGAAGAAATTTAACCTCTTATTTTCCAACTTGGGGGATGTGATGCTGATGTAATACTTCGATTTTGAACTTTATGTTCTAAAAGACAGTTTGTCTTCTTGAAATTCAAGTCTGTAGGTGGTTAAATGGGGGAAGACCATAATAAATTTCAGACTTCCCAAGTCGAGAAAAAAAATAACAGACTTCTTTCTTCCTCTAATGCAAAAGGTCTTAAAAAGCTTGAAATCCTAGCAATCAATTGAGAGAAATGTGTTAGAGAAGTAGCTTTTCCCTGAGTAAATGAGGGAAATGCTATAAAGCTAAGGGTTGCACATTAAAGTAATCATTGAGATGATTTTCTTTTCCTGTAATGTATTTTCTGGACCTTCAAAAGTATTGCATAATTTCAGTGTAGATTAAGATAAATGACAGAAAATAAGTGCTTTTTGTATCAGATTTTTATAACCCTATTCTCACTTTTTTGGGGGTTTCTGAAGAACTAAAAGTCTGCTTTTCTTTTAGATTAACTATTTCTATGCCACTATAAGAAATGAGCACTATTCCCAAGAGTTAGTAGATGCAATCCTAGTTCGGGAGGCTAAAATTCACTTGTGTGAAAAGGATAAGCCTATGGAAAGAAAGTAAACAAAATAGCATTGTGCCACTAGAGAACCCAGAAATAAATTCGTATATTTTCAGCCAACTCACAAAGGTACCAAGAGCGTACACTAGAAAAAGGACACTTCTTCAATAAATGGTGCTGGGGAAACTGGATATCCATGTGGAGGAGAATAAAACTAGATTCTTACAATTCACCATACACAAAAATCAACTCAAAATGAATTAAGGGCCTAAATTAAGACTTTACACTGTACAAATACTAGAAGAAAATATAGGAAATGCTCGAGAACTTTAGCTTAGGCAGATTTTATGGCTAATATTTAAAAAGCATAGGCACACAGAAACAAAAAAATAGACAAATGGAGTTATAATAAACTAAAAAGCTTCTGCACAGCAAAGGAAATAACCAACAAAGGGAAGAGAACCTGTGGGATGGGAGAAAACATTTGCAATCAATTCTTTCGACCAGGGACTAATATCTGGAATATAAAGGAACTCAAACAACTCAGCAGCAAAAAAACACAAACATACAAAAAACCCAAATGATCTCACTAAAAAGTGAGCAAAGGATCGGAATAGACATTTCTCAAAAGAAGACATACAAATGGCTAGCAGGTATATGAAGAAAAAATGCTCAGCATCACTAATGATTAGGGAAATTAAAATCACAATGAGACATCATTCCAGTTAGAATGGCTATTATAAAAAAGACAAAAAGTAAAAAGACTCGTGAATATGTGGAGAAGAGGGAATTCTTATATGCTCTTGGTGGTAATATAAATTAGCACAGCTATCATGGAAAACAATATGGAGGTTTCTCAAAAAACTAAAAATAGAACTACCACATGATCCAGAAATTCTACCACTGGGTATTTATCCAAAGAAAAAGAAATCAGTGTATCAAAAGGATATATATACACACCGTGGAATACCATTTGGCCATAAAGTAGAATGAAATCCTGCAATTTGCAACAACATTGATGGAACCTGTCGTCATTATAGTTCAGACTTCCCAAGTTGAGAAAAAAATAGCAGACTTTTTTCTTCCTCTAATGCAAAAGGTCGTAAAGAGATTGAAATCCTAGCAATCAATTAAGTGAAATAAGCCAGGCACAGAAAAAAACAAATATTGCATGTTCTCACTCATATGCAGGAGGTAACACAGTGGGTCTCTTGGAGGTAGAGAGTAGAATAATGGTTAACAGAGGCTGGAAGGGTGTTGGGGTAGAGGATAAAGAGATGTTGGCTCATTGGTGTAAGCACACAATTCAAAGGAATACGTTCTAGTGTTTGATAGCACAGTAGGGTAACTATAGTTAATGATAATATAGTGTATATTTTAAAATGACTAGGAAAGAAGATATGAAATGTTCCCAACACATAGAAATGATAAATGTTGTAGATTATGTATATGCTAAATACCCTGATTATTATACATTTTATGCATGTATCAAAAGATCATTATGTACCCCATTGCACAAATGTATATCAAATTTTAAAAATAGTATTGTGCCACAAAAATGTGATCTTTGGAACCAGAAAACCCTGATATTGAGTCTTTGCTCCACCAATGTTTGTTACTTGACTTTGTTCAGTTATAGAACAGAGATCTCTAGTAGTCAGGGTCTTTGCCTGCTAAACAGCAATGCTAATATCTTTTATCAAGGGTTGTGGCAAGGTTTAAAAGAAGCAATGAGTGTTTACATATAACTTACCTTGCTTAAAAAAAAATTTAAAGTGCTTTGTGAAAGTTAAGACACAATGCAAAATAAGTTAAAAATAAGTGAGTGAAATGAATTGAAGGGAAGACAAAGGTAGGAAAGTAGGATATACCCATGAAATAAAAGCTATAGAATCTATTACATTACCTGACACATGGGGATCACTCTTCATCACTGGTTCTCAACTGGAGGTCATTTTACCCCTGATGTTTGTAGACATTCGGGGTTGTCCTAATTGGGGCAAGGATGGGAGTGTGCTACGGCACCTAGTTGGTAGAGGCCAGGTATACAGCTCAATACTCTGCAGTGCACAGGACAGACCTCCACATGAAGAGTTAACCAGCCCAAAATGTCAATAGTGCTGAGGCTGAGAAAGTCCTGTCTACAACCTGCTAACTCCATTATACACTTTCCTGGCACCAAATGAATGTTATATAGTTTGGAAGAGGGAAAGAATTCTGAGGGTTGAAGTAATCCTGGAAGCTTCCAAAGAGGATCTGGAACTTGAGCTGAGCTTTGAAAAAGCAAGAGGCATAATAAAAGGCATGGGGGGCCAAGAGAGTGTGGGAAGATAGAAGCAATGAGAGAAGATTAAGACACTTCCCTTCAATTTCAAGGTGACAGATGGACCCCATTCTTCAGTAATCCTCACCCAACAGAACCTACTGACATTGACTATAAAAGGTATAAAATGTATTAAATACATAGCCATAATTTATAAGAGTGGAATGTCTTAATTAACCAGAAATTGTGATAAAGCCTTATAAGAAAAAGTGAAAGGAGCAAACGGGAAGTTATTTTGAAAATTGAAGGCTCAAACATGTGGGAAAAATCTGCCATAGAGGGTGAGATGAATCAACTCACCAAACATTTCATCAAAATAAGGATAAAAAGGAATGAGGTAGATTGTGACATCTTTACTTAAATCATTGATTCCTTCATTCCTGCTGGGTCATGAGCCCCTTTATGACGGACGAAGACTGTGGATCCTTTCCCCAGAAAAGTGCGCATACTCATCCCATATTTGCATCAAATTCTGGCAGGCTCATGAAAATGTATAAGCCCGAGTACTGGCAGTAAACTTTTTTGTGTATGGATGCCTCTTCCCCTAGCCACTAGCCATTCCAAAATGCCGATACTATTACTATTTAATATTTTCTTTCAATTATAGGCTGGGAGGAACCATTGGAAAACCTTGGCTGGTGAGATTCAGGGTGGCTGGACGGGTTAGATAACTCAGCTTTGAGCTATAATCTCACTCGAGGTCAGAAACTGTTGGGAAACTGAGCTCTCCATTTGTTTCCTGAGCCTTAGTGGCTTTCTCAGTTCCCAGACCTTTGTCTCAGTTTCTCTTAGGTTGAGATGTAGTCTTACTCATGCAATCATTGTCTCTAGAGACAAGACTCTGACTGGCAAAATCCACCTGGGAACTATATTCCTTCTGCCAATGAAGAGAGTTTTTTCTGACGCTCACTACCCGCCTTCAAGAATTGTACATTTTGTGCAGCACCTGGATTCCCCATCACTGTGCTCCTTCTATACCCAGGAGCAAACATTATCTTCCCCTGCCCCTCCCCTTGAACCCAACTGCTGCCTTCTTATATTAACTGTCCCCGCAGCAGCTTCACCAAGTGGATGCTTTATTTTTGACCCAGTTAGTTTTGTCTTTATTGGTAATAATAATGATAGCTGCCATTTACCAAGGTCTTACTTTGTGCTAGATGGTATGGTAAGCTCTTTGCTAACAATGTCTCATTAAATTCCTGGTATAGATTTTGTTTTACACATAAGGAATAAGACAAGCTAAAGAACCCATCCGTTTTTATTGGGATTTGGAACTAGGTCTCTTTGGTCTAGCACTACAGCTCTTAACTATATTTCCCTCAAGATGTTCTTCCTGTGCTTTTCCCAGGAGTTTGTTGATTTTCAGGTCCTGGTCACTTTTCTTCTTTCTTATCTTTTTGTAAGTAACTATTGTAATAGCACAAGTCTTGAGAAATAAGAAGACACCTTCAGCATCTTAAACTA